ATTCAAAATTGGAGTTTTAATTTCTCTGAATACATGCTACTTCCATAAAACTGTATTTGAAAAATCATAATCCAGCTATTTTCAATAAAGGGACATTTTAATACAGCCAATTAGTGTCAGAATCCCCTAAGTTAATCAGTCTTCAGGTGGAGCATAACTTCTCATAAGTGGATTGAATTCCCTTTTATTTCTCATAACATAGTATAACAATATTTGATTTTTTTTTTTTTTTGGTTTTTCGAGACAGGGTTTTTCTGTGTAGCTTTGCACCTTTCCTGGAACTCACTTGATAGCCCAGGCTGGCCTCGAGCTCACAGAGACCCGCCTGCCTCTGCTTCCCGAGTGCTGGGATCAAAGGTGTAGGGATTGAAGGTGTGTGCTGCTGCCACCACCACCAGGCCAAGATGGAATATATTTTTAAATATTATTTTCAAAATTTTTATTTTACCAAATTACACACAAATATGGCCAAGAGGTCATACACAATGTATTTTTTTTTAGTATCAAGAGTCTTAAAATCTCTAAACAATATTGCACCTGGATGTATTAAATCCACTGCTATATAGATATATTGTGCACTTTACCAGAGCCATATGTTGTCTGTTTCTCCAAATGCATTTTCAGAACTTTCCTCGAAAATCTGTATGGTATTTGTTAAAATATACACTTCCACCCAAAACCAATAAAAATGTCATTTTCAGATGGACTTTCTGCTTAGTGTTATTTTTTTATTACAATAAGAGAAAAGATATGGAGTGTAGCTCCAAACACACAAAACTGTTAACTAGTGTGCTAAATGACCCTAATATCAAATGCTTTAAAAATATAATATGAAACATAAAATTTCAGAAAGCATTCAAATTGAATGACACAAGATTTGTTACTAAAGTTGTTCCCTGAACAAATAGATAAATTAATTATTTCCATTTTTTTAAATTTACTCACATTTGTTATTTTTGGTTATATGTAAGTTTGTATCTGCATGTGGATTTGCACATTTGAGTACAGGTGCGCATTGGTGGAAAATGTATTAGAGATGGAGATAAAGGCAGTTGTGATGCAAGAAACCTAACTTCTTATTCTTCATGAACAATAAGCACTTAATCTCTGAGCTATTTCTCCAGCTACACTACTTTCTTTTTTGTCTTACAAGTAAAAGTTGATATTATTGGAAAAAACTTAAGAAAATGAACTGTGTAATTTATTAATATAATCAGTGATTTTTGGTCAAACAAGGGGCCATATAATCAAAGTAGTATTAACAAATTCCTCTAGCAAGTTTTCACAAAAATCTTATTCATGAAAACTATATTTCTGTTTTTGTGAGCCTAAAAGGGATTTTTAGAACTACGTGCTCTTTTGAGCAATTCCTTATCAGGAAAGAAAACAGATTGAGGATGTAGTATATTTCAAAATATGAGAAGGTATCTGGAACTCACAAACATGTTGAAGCACAATATAAGGGAACATCTTCGATCAGTAGGAAAATTAATGATTACTGTAAAAGTAAGTTTTAAGTATTGACCCAATAATATTTAGTTTTGTATACAAATGAAATTTAACTTTTAAATAGCTCTAAATGTCACCTAGGTTCATTAAATAACAAGTAACACAAAACAGTATTTGTTTGCTAATATTACAACCAGCATCCAGATTAACTTAATTTAAAATAAAGTCTACTGAAATTTGAAAACGTGGAACTTTCAATTGTTTCATTCTGTAGAATAAATATGAACAGAACATTCAATGGCTAATATAATGGTTTCATTTTTAGGTGAGGATAAAAATGGTCAGTGCTAGTAATTGAAACAGGATTTTATATATACATATATAATGCATATTACATAGACTTTATTATGTTAGCTAAAGTCATATCATTAATATTTGTGTCTTTATGTTTGTTGACATCAGAGATTGAACGTAATGCTGCATCTTTAAATACAAATAAGACAAGCTCATTTAAAGAATGATGAAAGAATCTGTACTTATTAAATATCTTAATAAAATTAGAATTATTGTTGATATATCTATATGCAATTTTAAATGTTTTATAATTTCAAATATATAAAATGTGTAGTATGTATAATCATTTCCTATAACTATAAATAATATTCCATCTTGTCTTATTCCGCTTAAAAGATTACATTAAGATTGGATGTTCATTCTGAGTAATCTTATTTGAAACAAGATTAGTAACAAGACATATGCAAACAAATCTGCTTTTTTTCTACCTTATAAAAATGATATTTCTTCTACCCTTGGATTCATATTAATCCACAAGATATGACAGGGATGTATTTATTTTTTTTTTGTTTTTTTTTTTGTTTTTTTTTTTTTTTTGAGACAGGGTTTCTCTGTGTAGCTTTGCGCCTTTCCTGGAACTCACTTGGTAGCCCAGGCTGGCCTCGAACTCACAAAGATCCACCTGCCTCTGCCTCCCGAGTGCTGGGATTAAAGGCGTGCGCCACCACCGCCCGGCAACAGGGATGTATTTAAAATGATAATTTATGAGTGGAAAAGACATCTCTATGTAATGTATATATTTTTCATCATCATACTTTTTTAAGAGAAATTCATCTTTGTTCATCAGAGTAGTAAATCTTTTCACAACTATGTCTGATCCTCCGAAAGTAAAGGAAGATACACGTATTATACATGTTTCCTGAAAATTTATAGTCTTCAAATTAATATTAATTAATTATTCTGAGTATGTAATTGAAAGTACATAATGGAGAGATCAGGTGTTAAAGACTTTGTTTCTATTATTTTACATTGTTAACACCTTAGTTTGAGCATCTGTTTTTGCAAAGAGGAAAATGATACTGTGTTGTTATTTATTGTAAATATCTAGTTTTACATTACATCTTCCCCCTAATTTTTCATCATCTAATGGAAGAGATTAACTATGAGGAGAAAGGCTGAAGAGAAGGCTCAATGGTTAAAAGCATCAACAACTCCTGAAGATCTGATTCATTTCCAGCACCCATATCAAAGGCTCACAAGGATCTGTTGTTGAAAAATTCCAGGAGATCAAAACCCTCTTCTGGTCTCTGTGGCCATTTACCCAAATGTGGTATACATATACATTCAGGAACACAAAAATACATATAAAGTAAAAAAAAAAATCTTTAAAATTGATAAAGAGTACATAAATACAATGAGCAAGTAAATATTTAAAAGTTCATATGTTTAAAATTCTGAATCCACAGTATCCATGATACTTAAATGACATTTCAAAATCTACAATTTATATCAATTTACTTAATATGCTTATATCAGTTATTTTGTTCCATTCATATTTGTTTATATTTATACATTTCTATCACATATGTTGAATTTTTTTCCATTCATAACTTTATTTATAAAACTTTAATCTGGAGCAAATTTTAAATTTATGAAAATATAACAATATTTTATTATATGCATACCTTATTGAATTTTGTATTTTACAAACTTACTATGTTTTCTACATGTTAAAAATAGTTTAATTATTATTAATAAATTAATGTATAACATCAACTTAAATCTTTAAAAAAACATTACTCATCTCAAGGGTTTGCAAAAGAAACCCTATTTTTAGTGTCTTCTGCCTGGAGATCAAATGTGAAATTTCATTCATTAAATTTTCTGTGTTTTTTTTTAATCTTTGGGGGCCTGCCTTCCAGCTCCCAAATAAATACATGTAGACTAATTCTTACTTATGAATGCCCATCCTTAGCTTAGCTTGTTTTCTTAGCTTAAATTATTCCGTTTCTCTTTAACTACATTTTGCCCCTGGGCGTTTTGCCTTTCTTTATTCTTTTTTTCTTTCTTTCCTTCTTACTCCATGGCTGGCTGTATAGATGGGTGACTGGCCCTTGGTTTCCTCTTTTCTTTTTCCTTATTTTGTTCCTCCCCCTGTGTCTAGATTTTTCCTACTATTTATTCTCTCTGCCCTCCAGCCTGCTACTGGGTGTTCAGTTAAGTAACACAGCTTCACGGAGTTAAACAAATGCAACATAAAAGAATGCAGCATATCTTTGCATCATTTAACCAGTATTCCACAGCATAAACAAATGTAACACATCTTAAACTAATATTTCACAATTTTCTCTTATAATATTTTATTTTTTTTAAAAAAAAAATAACAATATATTTTAATAATGTTCTTTCTTCTCCTTCAAATCCCCCCAGATCTTACCTACCTCTCTACCCACCCAAATCATTTTATTTCTCTTTCTGTCTTTCAAAAAAGAAGTCAAATCGAATAAGCAAACAAAAAATAGACAAAAGTACAGAAACAAAAAAAATGAACACACACACACACACACACACACGGTGATCATTTTGTTCTGGCAAATTACTCCTGGGAATGGAGCCTAACCCGTAGCATGGTTGATATACCCAGTCTGTTCCACAGGAGAAAATTGATTTTTCTCTTTCCCAGCAGGTATCAATTTTAAACAGCTTCTTGTTTAAGGGTGGGACTTTTAAACAATTACATGACAGAGGAATATGATAATAGTGTATTATTGAAATCCTCAGTCTAATTTCCCCTCCAGTGGAGTTAGAATTCTTATTTCTCCTGAAATACTTAGAAATGATTTTATCTCTATTAAAACACAAAGAAACTGTAAAATAATGTAAATATTAGGTATCATTTATAATGTGCACAAATTAAGTGAGAATAATAAATAATGAGAGAAAAATGGCAGATTGCACATAAAAAATGTGCAAAAATGGAAATATCCTACCTGTGCCTAAAGAAAATGAATGTTATAACTTCCATAATAAATTTTGTTTAGAGTATCCACTATTTTGTTTTTCAATTACTATAAGTTGCTATATATATAGTAATTGAATATATATATATATCTCCACCATATTAAGTTTAACTTTTCAGAATATGATACTAGTCATAGTAAAATAACTCATTGTCCCTTATAATTAGAGCTATGAAAACCTGATTTGCAAACAGAATTAATCTATTTCTATTGATGAACTAGGAAAGGATCACTTACTAGATTCTGGATCAGAGTTGCCATCCCCTTCAGTGCGGTTGTTTGGTGCGGCATGATCAAAGTACTCTTCCTGAGGATAGCCAAGAGGCAGGGCATGGGATGTGCTGGGAAGGCTGCCTGCATCATGGTCTCCCAATCCACCATCACTGATGCTTTCCTGAGAGCCTTCTGGTAGGTGAAATGTGACACGTCGCTGGGACTGAAAGGAGCAAAGAAAATTACAGGGTTTCAGCAATATTCTGAATAATTGCTTAATGCATCCAATTTATAAAATGTATTATTTCAGCTATCTTGTAAAGCCACATAAAATTATCTTGCACTGTGAACAATTCAGGCTTTTGTGAACAGGCAGATCTGTTTTCAAACCAGTTTCACCTGGCAGCAGTGTTGCCTCTATTATATTTCTATACAGAGCACATCGAAAGACAGAATGAGCAGGAATATCTTCTAATCAAGAAACTTGTAGGTTTTGTGCTATTTGAGCACAACAGAAATTTTTGACCATCATTTTAATATAGAGTCACTTAGCAGTATTTGGCAATAATCTACTTTTTGAATTACAAGAATGAATAACTATAACTCAACTTCTTTGCTTTTCTGTGAGATTCTGGTGAACTGAGACAGTAGTGACTTTATTCAATAATATATACTTTAAAATTAAAACTTTTACCTTTTAGAATAAATTTATTGGTCAGGTTTTTGTTAGTATTCATTTAACTTTATTCTATTCTATGAATGCAAAAATAGCCACATACTATGTATAACTGCTAAGGACAATTATATAGACAAGCTATAAGAATTGTTGTAAGCAGAATTAGTTAAAACAGAAGAAATGGGGCCTAAAACTTTGAATGTAAGAAGTCTATGAATTCTAGTAATAGAAATATGCTGACCAGATGCAACACCATTTTAGTTCTCAGTAGTACTATTTTACACAGTAACTAGTGTACAAAGATAGCCTCCTAAATAGATCTCTCTTTCCGGTTTTTACAACATTCATCTGGACCCAATAACTCTGGACTGGGGCAGTATAATCAAACCTCCAATTCCTGCTTTGTTCTCTTGGACTACTCATGATTTTCACTTCTCTTGTTTGGGATTCCTAATAAAACAATGTGGTATTCTTCAAAGTTCAGAGGGTTATAATAGTTTATAGAAAGTATAGATACTGAATGCTTGAAGTTTAAAAGCACTAAATAAGCATTTATTTATTTATTTATTTATTTATTTATTTATTCTTTTCTCATATAATACATCCTGAGCACACTTTTCTCTCCCTCTTCTCTCAGTCCCTCCTCCCACCTCTCCTTCCTTCCTGTTCTTCTGTTTCTCTGAGGGTATGTGCCTACTTTTATTGTAACTTGTTAATTCTTGATGTTCTTAAAAAAAAAAAAACATCAGCTTGTCGAATGTGTTAGGAAATTCCTTGAAAACAGAAGGTAGAAACTGGCTAGAAAATTTTAAATAGAAGACCCCTCAAATAAAAGTACACAGTGTCTTCTTGGCTAAAAGCTAAAAATGTTCTTGAGCATCTTAGTAGCAAATGTTGTTAAAATTGTTTGGGGGGGTCTGATCTCTTCTCTGACTTCTAAATACTTTTAAGGTGACCTCTTCAGAGGGAGTAATATTTTGAGCAGAAAATCCTGGTCAGGAGAGTAGGATCTCTGGTCTAGCTAGAGACATAATGTTCCAATTGTGCTGCTTAAGGGACCTCCTCTAAGAAGGTGGGCTCAATTTAAGCCATGCAGAAACACAGGCAAACTAATTATTTCTTTAATGAGATACTTTACATTTTCTTCCCAAAAACCTAAACCCTAGAGCAGAAACTTCATTGGCCACAGGCTGTAGGGTAGCTAAAATGGAGCGTATAAGTCAGTTTGTTTTTCTAAATTCAGAAAAGTAAAACTCTTCCTTTCTAATCATATTTTCCTTAACTCTTTAGGATGTCCCCTAACATTTGGGGGTTCTTTATTCTTTCTGTGAAGCTGTCCTTTCTGTCAGGTGGCTGCTTTTCACCATGTAGCCACTTTAGCACTTAAATTACAGGGAACTTTTTTTCTACTATTCCATTCTCCTCTTGCAGGCAGGTGCAGGGATTTTATACCTTGCCTGTCTGTAGTGATATATTGTACCATAATAAATTTGCCTGAAGATCAGAGAAGCAAAGCAAGCCATAGCCACCACCTGTTATCTCACCAACTCTTTAGTCTGAAAGAGCCTTTCTAGCTTAAAGGCCTCTAGCCAAACGGGCTTCCTTAGTATAAAAGCCTTTAGTTCCTGTCTCCTCACACCTTATATACCTTTCTCCACCCACCCATATCATTTCCTGTCTCAACTTTCCTAGTACTGAGATTAAAGTTGTGTTACTCCCAAGTATTGGCATTAAAGGTGTGTGTCACCACTACCTGGCTCTGTTTCTCTCCTAGACTGAGTCAATCTCATGTAGTCCAGGGTGGCTTTGAACTCACAGAGGTCCAGAGAGATCTCTGCCTCCTGAGTACTAGGATTAAAGGTGTGTGCCACCACTGCCTGGCTTCTATGTGTAATCTAGTGGCTTGTTCTGTTCTCTGATGTTCAGGCAGATTTATTAGGATACACAGTATATCACCACACTTGTCTGGGGATTTTTCTTTTAAACTATAATAGAAATGTCCTTGAGCTTAAATGAACAAAATCTTAATACAAATAATAGATAAAATGTACACATATTTTTGTAATAAACCACAATCATCTTCTAGAATCCCAACTACAGCAATGTTGTGAAGTAGAATAGAAATCATTTTTGGTTAATAGTTTAATGGTAAACCTTTAGGCTTACTGAGACATAATCTTTGACCTTAATCTCATCTTCTCAAAGTTCATCTTATAGTACAAAAACAGCTTTAGAAAATATAGACATTAGTAAGTTTTCATTTGATTGCTTTAAACTGTTTAAATATATATATAAAAACTTATCTGTCTGGAAAGACTATTTTTGTTCAAACTTTTAAAAACATTTTCCCTGCTGGTCATAGCTTGCAGAAAATCTGATGGAAGCTAATTTTGTCATTCCAACATAACAGCTTTGGATCATTTTCTCACTAAGAAACTAGAAGCATTGTGGTTTAAAGTTTAACTTTACTCACTTGCATATGTTAGTTATGATCACTAATATATTTTCAAGTAAATATAAATATGTATATTTGTCAGCCTTTTAAAAATTAAAAAAAAACTTGGAAAATAGGTTGAAAAGTATACAAAATATTACATCATAAAATTAATGTATCATTAGCTATTACAGAAAAGTTAAAATTAATATAATACTATGCTTTGGGATGGTCTGTGTGTCAAATTGCTCTGATTGGTCAATAAATAAAACACTGATTGGCCAGTGGCTAGGCAGGAAATATAGGTGGGTCTAACAGAGAGGAGAAAAGAAAAAACAGGAAGGTGGAAGGAGTCACTGCCAGCCACCGCCATGACAAGAAGCATGTGTAGACGCCGGAAAGCCATGAGCCACAAGGCAAGGTATAGATTTATGGAAATGGATTAATTTAAGCAAGAAGCCTACCATGGCCGTATAGTTTGTAAGCAATATAAGTCTCTGTATTTACTTGGTTGGGTCTGAGCGGCTGTGGGACTGGCAGGTGACAGATTTGTCCTGACTGTGGGCAAGGCAGAAAAACTCTAGCTGCAATGCTATATGCATGATCTAAATTACTGCACATAAAATAAGCTAGATTGGCACAAAACTATGATTTATTTTCTTATGGTAAATAACTATTTATAAAAAAATCTAAATTTATGCAAATACACAAGTATTTGTATATTCCAGATATAGAATATTTTACTATGTATCAACATTTCAATATTACATTAAAGTTTAGTGCTGTGGATATTGCTTTGTATAAATAAAATGCTGATTGGCCAGTAGCCAGGCAGGAAGTATAGGTGGGACAAGCAGAGAAGAGAATTCTGGGGAGTGGAAGGCTGAGGCAGAGAGACACTGCCAGCCGTCGCCATGAAAAGAGAGATGTAAAGTACTGATAAGCCACGAGCCACATGGCAAGGTATAGATTAATAGAAATGGGTTAATTTAAGATATAAGAACAGCTAGCTAGAAGCCTGCCACGACCATACAGTTTATAAGTAATATAAGTCTCTGTGTTTACTTGGTTGGGTCTGAGTGGCTGTGGGACTGGCGCGTGAGAGAGATTTGTCCTGACTGTGGGCCAAGCAGGATAAGGAAAACTCTAGTCATAGTATGGTTTTATCATTTAAAATTTTATAGTGTTTAAACAGATAACAGAGCCAGGCAGTTGTGGCGCACACCTTTAATCCCAGCACTGGGAGGCAGAGCCAGGCGGATCTCTGTGAGTTTGAGGCCAGCCTGGGCTACCAAGTGAGTTCCAGGAAAGGCGCAAAGCTACACAGGGAAACCCTGTCT